AAGTTACAAGGTTGGAGAAAATCATCTGGACTACTGACCACTATTCATGAGTGCCCAGTCTTCAGGGCGGTTCGTTGCCAATGCCAAGCAGCCATATCCCCATCATCATCGGTGTCCAGGACATCTATCAATGTCCGGATCTCTGAGGGTGCAAGGCCCGTGGAGCTCAGCATCTTTCGCAGCTCCTGGGGTTCACCAGGAAACACTCGCACCCTTGATATTTTTATTGAGAAGCACCGTTCTACTTGCCTTATACCAGCAAGATGTCCTACTGCTCGATAACATATATACATATCAATTGTTGGCCATGTCAATATTTTCCACAGATAGCCCATTTAGCATGCTTGGGCTCAGCACCGCTGATCATACACAAATGTCTGTTCCATTCTGTCCGATCCCAAACCCAAGCAGCTTCCCATGCACACACCATCTTCTTCAAACAAACATGGAATGGCTGAGGACTACCCTTCGCTCCTCTTTGCTCACAACACCGTTGCCGTCCACGTCCCACAGTCTGAAGGTCGCTTTGACCAAATCAGCATCCGTCATGAGGGACTTCTCTAAGGCTCCTGAAGTTGCATGAAGAAAGGGAGCGTGAAGAAAAGGTACCATGAAACTCCATGAACAGGTGAGTCAAGATAATCAAGCATCAAGAAAGGAGCTTTTTGGGTGCATCATCTAAATTCCACTTCAGAATGACCCAACATGGATGGGCAACTTGGATACAATTTACCTTCAATGTCCCAACCGTCAGTCATGGTTGGCTTCTCGTCTCCTGGATTGTTCCTTTCCAACCATTCAACGAACTCGTCGTAGCTCACTCCACCATTCTCATCCGCATCCGCCCTTTCCATCATCTCCCGTCCATCTTCAGCGGACCTCAATTGCGCCACGTCGGTCCGGTGGACCGAACCCAAAGGCGAGACCTGAAGATCTGCATGTTGCGATCTCCAAAAGTCTAAAAAAACCTCTGAGAGGTGATGAGAGGTGATGAGTAGGACTGCACCTTCGTACCGGACATCGTCCGACTCTTCTTTTCCTTCTCCGAAAGACACGTAAACCATCATAAACCTCCCTCCCCGATACGATTGATCGAGAGGCATGGTGTACAGCAGTCGTCGCATCATGTGGCTGATTTCTGGCCGGCCTGAGAAAGCCATCCAAGGATCGACTAAAAGTGAATAACAAAAAATAACTCTGAGAGACATATCACGACATATATATATATATACTTCATCAATCTTCATCATAGGTCTAAAAACCTGACCTTTTAACCCACACTTGTTTGCCACCAGAAGCGCTCAGGCGGCCATTGTTGTTGTAGTCAGCAGCAGCAAACGTGGCCTTCAAGAAGGTCTTTCGCATGTCCTCACAACATGTCTTCGTGTGACTGAGACTCAGGTACTGTATACATATATATATATATATGTATGTATATAGACCCCCAAACACATAGAAAAAGTAAAATCCCTTTCAACATGTTTTGGACATCCCATCTCTCTCTCTATATATATATATATATCCATTCAAGGACCACGATACTCAATGACCTTGCTTGCCCAGCCTGTTCTACTTGATCATGCTTGATCACTGATATTTATCACCGCTCGACCTAGACAGTCGCATGCCCATTGGAAATAGACAAGCTCCTGCGAGACAGTCGACATGTTGGCTGCCAGCGCAGAAAGCAAACCACCTCCCTGAAGGGGAGTTTCAACCTGGCCAAAACAGAGAAAAAGCAAGAGTCTCTAGACTGAACTATCATCCAGCACAACAATTTGCTGTGCCTAGATGCCCAGAACCAACATTGATTGGTGCATCGGGATGCTCTGGAAAGCTCTTGTGGACAAAGATGTGAGACTGCGTGTGCGGGAAGACCGGAAAAGCTTGTCAAAGCTAGGGTTTGCGTTTCGTGACACCAATGGTATGATGCAATGAGCGGCACCAGAAACAAGGGATGCAAGAGGTGCACTTCTGGAAGTGACCCACATCCCCTAACCATGCTGATCTCCGCACCTTGGCACATGCCTCCGGTGCCAGGTTCAGCAACATGACATTTGCGCGGGACCTACGTGAACACCGATCCCGAGACCGCAAACGTTCGACCTTCGAAGTTTGCATCAATTTGTGCATACACAGAAACAAAGACGCTACTAGTAACAAGAAGCTACTAGTAACAAGTGCACCGCTTCTAGTAACAAGTGCCTTACTAGTAGTAACAAAAAGATACTAGTACATATCTACTAGTAAACAAAAGAGTTTGATTGAAGAAACTCTCAGCATTTGAATCGGCCCTTCTTGTTCTCTTTCGCCTCAGCATGCCGAAGTACCTCTTCAAGTGGTTCTCATGCCTGGGCCGGGTGTTTCTAGCAGCTTCTTGTTACTAATTACTAGTAAGGCACTTGTTACTAGAAGCGATGCACTTGTTACTAGTAGCTTCTTGTTACTAGTGTTTCAGAGTTTCAGTGTCCCCATCACACCTCATTTACCTTGCGAGGCTTCGGCTTTTGGACTGGTCTCACGAGTCCGCCCGACTCGTTCGGTGCAGCCCCGTTCGTAGCGTCCGATCGCTGCATTCGTAGCGATGCCAGGAGCCCCTAGTAGCTTCTTGTTCCTAGTAGTAAGGCCAGGAGCCCCTAGTAGCGTCCTTGCTCCTAGTAGCGATGCCCTTTGCTCCTGGTAGCTTCTTGTCCGCCAAGACACAAAAAGACTCCCTGCTTTGTGAAGCCAACTCGAGTGCCGCCCACCATCACATATCCATGCTGCCTTCGCCTAGCGATGATGGTGCCCCAGCTGACTCCGCTCACGCCAAAAACACTGGTTGGTCTTTCCGAGAACCAGCGAACAGCAACTCATCGTGTGCGTGCTTGCGGTCTTGACTTCAAATTCCATTGTTTACCGTAGCTGTTCACAGGATCTAGAATGCTGTTTTAAGGTACAGATATTGCAACACATGCAAACGCTAGGACTGTGCAGCAAATCTGTCAATTTTAAAGTGGCTTGGTTTATCCAACGTTGCAACAGCTCGTGGGTTAGACCAAGCAACTCATGAAACCCATGCTGCTGGTCCAGGAACACCTTTAGCGACTGCAGCTCTTGACCTTAGTCAGTCAAACAAGGCGTCCCCAAAAAAATCAGGGAAGAATCAACATCGCAGTTTTCAGCTCTATCATGTGACCCTGTCATTGCAAAAGTTGTTGTGAAGCTAAGCGCCAAGCTGTCGGGTCTTCTCCAGGTGTCGCAATCTTCAGCCTGATGGGTCAAACATGCAGCTACAAAATGCGGACACATGCTGCCATATCGATGCGCTTGCTCGACCGCATGCATCAAGTCCTAGAAATCTTCAGAAGACACTCTTTGTTAGATCCACAGCATCTACACCCCCCCACGACAACTCTCAGAAATGGTTAAGTCGTGGCTGTTGGACAGCAAACTTTGCTCTTTTGTCCAGGATCAAGAACATGTCATCATGCAGTGTTGATGCCATCGAACCCATGCTCACTACCTAATCTTGGATTGCTGAAAGTCTGAATGGTAAAGATTGGCAGCGCCACTGCAGGTCACTTCACTGCCTTGCCGACCTCATCGACCTTGCCTGGATCATCACCCCCTCCGTGGTTTCCAAGTCCAACCGGCGCTCGCCGGGCACCAAGAGCACGGATTCCGCCATGGCGAACGACGTGACCGTACACGACTCTCCACCTCTGAAACGTTCGCAGCTTGAGCCAATGTGTGCCAGTGGCGAGCTTAGTGACTGGACCCAAATGAGCAGAGGACAAAATTAATCGTGTAGCCAAATACCATTTGACATGATTATCGTTTTTGGTGGGGTCCATACCGTTCTCCAATGTTTCTCCAAACCGTAGTTAGCATAGCATACCGGCACATAGACTAAAACACAAAATATAACCCACAACCTCAAATTAGAGGCTTACAGTGCTTTCTGCACAGGAATGGCACAGCACTTGATTTATGCACTTGGGTTCTCGTGGCACTGGGCTGTGCAAGGATCACAACACATAAGCGAGGACCTAGTAGCTCGGCCCATGAACAAACACTAGTAATGTGGAGAAGTAGGTTTACGGAGTGCCTGGCGTGACATTTAGGTTATCGTTCGCTTATCGTTTGGACTATCATTTGGGAAGTTGTCTGGGACTATCATTGATGAACAGTTGTGCCCATCGGCTTAGCTCAAAAAGACATGCAAATGCAATAACATATTGTAACCACAAACGTCTTTGCACCCACTACATCTTAACAATATTATCGTTTTTTTGGTGGGGACCATATCGTTTTCCACAGAAACAAAGCCCTCAACATAGGTTTAGGATCATGCCGTGACTAAATAAGTCAACCAATATGTTTGTCCGTCGCTCAAACGCAAAAATAGAACTTCTTCAAAGAAACCTGCTTGACTCAAGAACGAACACATCCGATTTGGCATGTGAGTTCAAACACCTCACTCGACGGTCTTCTGGGGCCACCACTTTGCTCCGACTCGGATTTCTCCAGGACCTGGCACCATAAGGGAATGAGTCAGGGTGGATTAACGAGCAAGTGACCAACTGTTAGTTGTTTTGCGTTGTTACTAGTAGCTTCTTGTTACTAGTAGTAATGCCAGGAGCTACCAGCTACTAGTAGCTTCTTGCTACTAGTAGTAAGGTGCCTTGCTACTAGTAACAGTAGCTTCTTGTTACTGGCGGGACACAAAATTGCAAAATGTCGGACACAAAATTGCAAAATATCCCGCAGAGTGTGTCTCTCCCACCTGCACATGCTCCGTGGAGCAATCACTCTGCAGAAGCCCCTTTGGTGAATCCTCCAGTCGAGGCAGAGGCGAATCCAACACTGTGAATCCAACACATCTGATCTTCATCATCTTCATCTCATCGCTCAGAAAGAAAAGAAAAAAAAACAAATCTGATGGATCTTGAGGGAACCAAACCTGATCCTCCACATCACAAGTGATCTCAAGAAAGCAACTTATAACTGAGCCTCACATGGCTTCTGGTTCACTACGGACATCATCAAGTCCAGAGCTGCTGCATCATCCCCTTGAAGGGCTGGTGATGCTTGCACTGGTGCTGCTTCAGCCTGTCAGCAAGGTTTAGCAGCGTTTAGCAGTTTGAGAAAGCTTGAACATGTTGGAAAAATTGAGCAACACCGTCTGTGGCGAGAAGACAAACGCCTTTACGTAGAAATGACCCGCTCAGTATGACTCAACCCTTGTGCTTGACCGCCTCAAATGGCTTGCGGTTCATCACCGACAACATTGCGTCCCACGCTGCTGCATCATCTTGCTGCAAAGAGGTGGATTCAGCTGAAATTGGCGCAGGAGCTTCTGCCGCATCCTGACAAATCTCTCTGGGAATGCATCCGGGAAAGACACTTGCCTCGTCCTTTCAAGGAATCAATACCTCAACAGCGCCTCAAACGGCTTGCGGCTCACCACCGACATCATAGCTTCCAAAGCTGCTGCATCATCTTCATGTAGAGCTGACGATGCTGGCTCAGCATTCTCCTATACCAGAAATGTTCTGGATTGCACCAACGAAAAGAGTCACTGTCCGTCCAAACTAAGTTGCGGGTTCAAATACAAGGGAGACAAAGAACCATGCAGCACAACAAATGGAAAACAAACATGTAACTCGCATCTATACATAAGTAGGTAATACTATGTATGTAATTAGACCTTTATGGGATAACGGATCCTTCCATGTTCTTTATGCAGCCTCAGTCAAAGCCAGCCTCAAATGGTTTTCGATTCATTGCAGACATCATTGCATCCCACGCTGCTGCATCATCCCCTTCAAAAGATGCTGCAGGAGTTGAAATTGGCGCAGGAACTTCGGGGGGTGCGTCCTGACAGATCTCAATATTCATGGCATCTTGAGAAATTAGAGCTGCTGAAAGTTTCGACTGCCAGGCCTCAAACGGTTTGCGGTTCATCACCGACAACATTGCGTCCCACGCTGCTGCGTCATCCCCTTCAAAGGATGCTGCAGGAGTTGAAATTGGCTCAGGAACTTCTGCAGGTACATCCTGACAAATATATGTTGCAGTTGCATTCTCCTGAAGCATTGTCCTAAACTTCACCCAGGCCTCGAATGGCTTGCGGTTCATCACCGACATCATAGCTTCCAAAGCTGCTGCATCATCTGCGTTAAAAGCTGCCTGTGGTGCAGGTGTTGGAATTGGAGGCTCAGCAACTGCAGCCTGACGGACAAGAAACCAACGCGTTTTGCGTAGCTTGACGGGTCAAACAAGGATGAATCAATCAACGCCATCAGTTCTGCAGGATGACTGCTATGTTTGAGGGCAACTGATCATCTAGATCATCCAAGTCAGTCCTGCCTCAAAAGGTTTCCTGTTCATCACAGCCATCATGGCTTCCAAAGCTTCTGCATCGTCCCCTTCGAATACTGTAGACATCTGTTGCGCCGGGGCACCAACGTTCACATCCTAAGCATCCAAACGACAAGTCTTTAGTGAGACTACTGGGTGCCATAGAGCTAAACCATATTCAGTTTCTTTTCCTCCATTCTATTCATAGAATGAGGATGCACAGTTTGCCCAAATCCTATCTCCTTGCAGCTCCTGCTGTAATTTGCCGCTGAAGTACAATCTGTGTCTCCTGCGGCTTCTCTCCTGTCATCTCGAGCATCATGGCTTGCCACGCTTTGGCATCTTCATCTTCCTCCACTTGCAGCTGCATGGTACAGTACTTGCATAACAACTGTTGGAAAGAAAAGGAACTGACAAGATTGAAGCTCATGCAAGGAGCAAGCCTTGGCCTATTATAACCTAAATATTTTCTTGCAAATACAACATGTGAGACAAATCAAACCGTTGGAGCTTCCTGTCCCGAGGCTGCTCCCTCTTTTCATGTTTGTGGGCAACTCTAGACTTATAAATTGTGCTTTGCAAATCTGTACCTCCTCAGCAGACTTTTGAAAGTTCATCCGCTGAAACTTCTCGAGCTCTCGCTTCATCCTCACCTTCGGATTCGCGGCAGGTCACAAACAAATGAAACCCCATTCCAATCTTTGAGTCAACTTTCCAAAGCAAACAACGCAAAAGTTTGGCACCTCCTGAGTAATGCGGATCATCTCGCTCTGCGACACAACGTTCCGCACTATTTTCCTGGACTGCCGAACCGTTTTACCAATCTCGTCATTTCAACCACCTACTCACTGCTGCGAAGCGCTATCACACAGCCACTACCTGTGTGCCTGCCTGAGTTTGTTCATGAAAGCCTCGTTCTGGCAATATCGCTCTACCACTGACGGACCTTCATTCCTCGGAGTAAACGGAGCCGATTCACACATTGAGTGATTCTGGCAGTCCCTCCACTTTTCAGTAGGGTCTAATCTGTCAACTGTCAACATAATTCAAAACGAACAGTGGGCATTATTCCCAGCGTTGTCCACACCTTAACAAGGAAACATAGGAAACCGGAAATGAAGGAAACCTGGCCTCAAACACCTTCGAATGTCCTGTGTGCGTAATTGAGGCACTGGATGGACTCTGATGGAACAAACCTCTAAAAGGTGGTTAAAGTCCCAAACATCGTCACAGGTTCTCTCTTTCCTTTTAGCCAAAGTAGAGATGAGCTGTCAGTCCTTCAAGCTTCTCAAAAGGTGTATATATATATATATATAGTAATACACAGGGACACACTGCAACTGATAGTCAAATACAGTAAAACAAAAACAAGAAAACATCTTACGCAATAGGTCTTATTGTGCAGGCAACATCAGCCAACAACATTCTCTGGGCGCTCTTCGATGAACACAGCGTGTTTGGCAGAGCTGTGGAACCCTGCGAACAAGTCAAGGCTCTTCAGGTCATCGACCATAGCTCGAATGTCTAAATCCCACTGGACTGCCTCGGTTGTTTTTCGTCTTTCGCAGGTGACTCCCCAGAGTTGAACGGTGGGCCGTCGCCGGAAAAAATTCCGCGCGCCGGGAGAAGCATGTTGGGAGAAGCACGCAGCACTGGAGCTGTTTGGAGAACACATTTTCTTCGCCCTTTCATTGTGAAGATTTGTCTTGGTCCATCATTGGCAGTCAAACTAAAAGCGCACAGGAAGCGGAATCCAGTTCCAAACCCAGAAGCCCACATCAGCACAGGCCCAGGTGGAGGCAAGGCCACTTTCTGCTCCAAGGTAGGCACCAAGGTCGCCTGTCAAAGCCAAGCGTTGCGAAGCACGGGATCTTGCTGTTCGGAAGCACCATATCGCCAAACCAAACATTAAGAGGAACACTAGAGTAGAGAAGAACTGCAAGAACATTTAGTCCGCTCTGAGGCTTTGCTTCAAAAGACAGGCATCACACCCGCATTTCAGTTTCTTTCATAGAGAAAATGATCAAGCCGAGTTGAAGTGACCCTTCCAATAGCCGCCAAGAGACCGAAAATTCAACCTTAGAATCAAAGGCTTTATACAATTCAATAAAAGATGGACGCCAATAGTGGCTACTCAAGCTCAATTGCAAGAATTGGCCTGTCTTTTGCAAGAATGGACGGGACTTCCATCCTGAGTTGTTGGTCGACGAGCCGATCTGCCAAGAAGCTCCCTTGCGCCACAGTCGGAATGCCGACCAAGCATAGTATAGGAGCAGTAGTGCAATCAGCACCAACTGCAAGCCGATGGAGACGATCATCAAATCATGGCCTGACAATCAAGCACATGCTCTGAACGTTTTTGAAGACGTTCTGGGGGATCATTTCACCATGTCACTGCCATTGCACTAGGCATCATTTCACCTTGCATGATGTCGAAATATCTGACCCGAAACAATAAAAGTAACTACCTCCCTGTCATTGTTTGGCCCCAAAAAAAACGAGGCGCCAGTGCAGAAATTAATCGATTTTACCAAGTTGCCATTTGCCTTTGAACTGCTCCAAAACAGCTCGTAGCAATGCCCTTTGTTACTAGTAGCGATGCCCTTTGCTCCCTAGTAGCTTCTTGTTCCTAGTAGTAAGGCCAGGAGCTACTAGTAGCGTCCTTGCTCCTAGTAGCGATGCCTTTGTTACTACTTGAAAAAACCAGGTCATCAAATGCCACATACCAAATGGCTGCCAAGAGGCAAATCGCGGCGAAAAGCGCCATGGATTCCATGGGCTGGCCGCCGAGAAAATGAAAGCGAATCCTTGGCCAATGGATGTGTGAAAACACAAAAAACGAGTTCTCAACATGATCCCCAAATAAGGATGCAGATTCAACATGCACACGTTTGCATCAAATATATTCAAATCAAGCTGACAACCGGAGGCGTGGCCGACAAACAAGACGAGGCTCGGAAGGACCATGGCTCCACAAAGCGGGAACCAGGTTGAAAAGTCTCGAGCCCTGGTTGCATGGACAGCGGGAGTTCCAAAGAACAGCATGAAAACCGCTGAACCACTTCACATGGAAAAGGTCCGCGCTGCAGCTGACGATCTCATTTGGAGTCACAGTTCTGTCGGACCCGTCGGACCCGTCGGACATGAAGGCGAGCGGCCTTGTTCGACTGTTTCGGTGTTCGGTTTTCGCTTTCCGGCATTGAACAATACATATTGTTCAGAGGGAACGATGGCTGTTGGTTTGCATGCTGTTTGCGATACGTCGTCATGCTGCTGCGCTGCAAGACTTCTTTTCGTCATACGTAATTGGGGGTCCCTTCCTTTGTTAAATATTATGCTGTGAAGTATCCATGTTTTTGTGTTTGTCGTGGCATACTTGGAGAGCTGAGATAGATTTCTTATGATTTGTCTCAACACACCAAAAGCTAGCCGACCAATATCGACCAATGCATCAAGATAGACATTTGAAGAGTTCTTTAGATGAGGACAATGAAATAGTTTGTTGCTGTCAAGACTATTCCAAGCGCTTGAAGCCTTTGAAGGCTTCCCAGATCTTCCAAGCCCTCTTTGAAGGGGGAGCAAACAACTAAAGGACCGTCGACATGTGGTGATGTCACCTCAGTCAGTGAGGATTGTGTCATACAGAAGCAGAAAGGTCCCAGTGATGGCTCTCAACCAAGACACATGCACCCCCACCCCAGAGTTTGCCAAGGCCTCATGCTCTTCAAACTTGGCACCAACAACACGAGTTCCTTGTTCAATGACTTCAATCTATGGGTATTGTACAGTACACGAAGGTAACTGATGTCGCAGCACGCAGCTTTGTCCTGAAAATCTGGTTCAAGAATTCTTGGGCCAAGCATCGCTCAGGTGGAGGACAAGAAGTAATTGCTACTATCGGTGTTGGGTGATATTTAATTGTTCGGCCCTGCTTTTTTCAGCCACCCCAAATGACGCGGTCACAGGTGATGTCAGCCGTCGGAAACTGGGTGAGACACTGGCTTCAGCTTTGCAAGGATGCTTCCCGCACTCGATCAAATTGTTTCATGTCGTTTCAACAAATGGAATCCATGCCACTTGTCTTGAAGACTGGACGTTTTTGCCCTTCAGTCAGCTTCCGAGCATGCGAGCACATCAAATCCTTACGGACACGGGAAACCTGACACGGTAAAATTGTCGTGCAAGAGGCTGTGAACATCTTGCTGTCCGGCATTGCTATCGGCATGGTACACCGTGCCCATGCAAAAAGATACTGCCGCTGTCGGAAGTTGTTTCTTTCTGAACATATGCCGATTTTTGAGTTATAATATAATACAATATAATGAAAGCAACACAATAATGGCTCATCTTCTATTCTGAAATCTCCACCAGCTTTGACCTTGTCTGAGATGCTTGGCTTGAGAACAAAAGATGCCGAAATCGACATCCACATGCGAGGCTCAACTGTAGACCACATGCTGCTAATTGCTGCTTGGTGAGCAACACAGGTTGCAAATGCTACAGGCACAGAAAATGTCCTTTTCAATGCCCCAGGAGTCTTTCTTCGCTTCTCGCTAGAGTGTGGAGACCGAAACACTCAGCACTAGGCATTCGAGACTCCAAAAATAAAGAGTTCGAGGCATTCGCCACCTTTGTGAGGCACTAGGCTCGCTGCCAAGACGCCTCCTTTCGTACCAATTCGAGGACACCAATGAATTCCAACCCGTTCGACTTCAGCTTCTTTGGCTGTTCAGTTGGCCAGTTCCCACCTTGCAGTGAAATCAACGCGTCGAGTGTGGCATTTTTTGTCAACGTTTTCGTGTTAACACAAACTGTTGAACATCTGTGCATGGGTGTGAAGGATCAGGTAAGTCTGCACCCCGCTTGCAACGGTTTCAAAGGCTGTCCGAGCCTGGCAAAGCTATTCAACAGTCTCTGGCGCACCTGCAAGCCACTATGGTATGAAGACTTTGCATCAGTTTATCGTAGTTCAGCAAACAATGACCATGACCAAGGCAACTACGGCAACTAACTGTGGTCTAGGGTTGTTCCCTAGCTCTTCATCCATGTAACACAACGCAGGGTCGTCAGGTCAGCCTATTATATAGAACAAATGCAGGTGCGTACGTCGCTCTTGATACAATCCCTGAAGATAAACTAGATTAGATTTAGTCACCTAGTGAAAACATTCATAGGTGGTCTTGGCAAGAAGGGACAACAGCAAGCAAGGCTTCAAAGGGTTGAATGTGCAAGGAATCTTCAATTAAGGGTTCGAGTCACAGCTAGTGGGAAGTGCACATGCATCTGAAGTAGCACAAAGGGCCTACTATATGGCCACATTATGTCGAACAAGTCCATGGCCTTGTTGTAACTCTTGCAAAGAGGCTAACGAACGTCCATGAGTTCATATACCCACAAAGCTTTACTAGAACACATCGAAAGCAGTGCTTGTGGACTTCAGCTGTCCAAATACCCACCTCTAAGGCAAGAAAGTGCTGTAGTAAAACCTGGCAGACTGCGGCAGACATCGGCAGACAGGTCAAAGCCTGTTCTTCGGTTCTTCGGTTCGGGACACCAGTTGCGGCGAATTCAACAACGTCATCAAAGGACAAACGGTGCCTTGAGTGACGGTGTGCCTGCCGCTTTCCTTCCTTTTTTTTTGGTGCTCATGCTTATGTTCCTCTTTCCACCAAATTGTCACTCAGCCGCTGTTCCTTGTGGGAATCGACCATTTCTGGCTCCTAGTCTGTCAGCGCAGGACATGCCTACGCATTCTAGCTTGGACATTGACCGGTTCAGAAACCAAGCGATCAGGAAACTACGATTCAGAAACCAACAGGGGGGCCATGGGTGGGAACCATGGCCAGGATAATACCGTTCGACGTGGCTGCAAAGGGTTTGGAACTCTATGATCAGGTTGTTTGAGTGACCAAACAACTGAGGTACAAGACATTGCTTTAGGTTACGGAGCCAACGGTTTGGGCTCTCGAATTAGCTTGCGTTACTGAACCCCAGGCTTCTTCCTATAGTGAACGAAAGGTTGTTTGGTTACCGAATCAGCCAGTTGCCGAATCAGCGGTCTTGGTTACCGAATCAGCGGTTTTTGTTACTTTGTTACCGAATCATGGTTCCTGAATCATACCTCTTGGTTGCCGAATCAGACGTCGACCTTGAACTTTCTAGCATCCCCGCTCCATCTCTCCCTCTCTGTCTGTCTGTCTGTCCGTCCGTCCGTCGGTCTGTCTATCCCTCTCTCTCTCTCTCTTTCTTTCAACGAACAAGCATTGCAACAAAAAACTGTGCTGGGACCACCGAAGGAAACGATGGCCACAACAGGCACTCGCATCCAAATTGGACCTTGACATCTCTCTGGTCTCTGACCGTGACGGCAAGTTTGAGATTCTGAGTCTGAGAGACCTGCTAAAGGAAAAGTTCAGCATAAAGACAGGGATCCATACAGACCTTGCAGCAATGATCTTTGGCTTCAGCCTCCTACTCACCGTAGACATCCGTAAACACTCCCGCTCCACTGAGCCACCAGGTGAGCTTGAGATCTTCCACTTGATTCTGACGAAACTTTCGCCAACCTGGAAGAACTCAGAGTCTCTCTGATAGCACTCTAACCACAGGAATTCTAGTACATTCTAGTACTAGATAGTTCTAGTATGTTCTAGTTGTTTGTTGTGTGGCATTCACCACACTGCACTGCCTTCAGAAGCTGTGCCGCCCTCGATGAACTCCTTCACCTGGTAGAAGGCCGGGAAGAGTATGAAGGGATGATGCCTCGGAAGCAGGTGGAGGCACAATTCTACGCAACTCAACGTCCAACGGTCTGAGATCCCTGCACGAACTGATCCAAGAACACCTTCAAAACAAGGTCAATCCGAAGTCAGAAGACATGTGAAGCTCTGAAGTGTTTGCCTAGTGCAAAGTGACTGTTTGAATATTTTGGAGTGTCCATTATTTGAAGCCAAGGCGTTTCTTTCTTTGCTAACGGCTAACAACTTCACTTACTTCTTCTTCGAGTAGGTTTTGTGGTGTGCTACAGGCAAAGGTTGTCAGAACCAAAAGATTTGTCTATGCTTTGTCTTGAGATGTCTTGAGCTATTCCCACATTAAGGAGCAAAAGAGTGAGCCGATGCACAACACCAGGAAGAGTTGCAGATTAACAACAAAAGAAACAAACTTCTCATATCACCACCTCACTACGTGTTTGTGGGATAAAACAGGACTAGAAAGGCCCAGGGGCGGTTTGTGGAGCAAAACTAGTCCCGAGATGTTGCATACGTAAAACCCAAGTCCCAATCCTTGAAAAACTATGAAGACTGACCTTTCAAGACATGGCCCCTTGGTCCCTCTTCTCCGCGCCGATCGGCACCTGCTTCAGCACCGTACGCTGTCCCTGGCGATCGGCCAACTTCTCTCGCCAGCTCTTGGCCGCGAAGCTCATGGCGTCCGGGAACCAGCGCCGGGCGAAGAGGTGCACATAGCTTGGCACGAGAAGAAAGTGACGATATGTTTTTACCGTTACACTGCCATAGCACCCTAAACTGAAAGAATGTGGCAAGACAGTGGAGGGAGCTGCTTCTTTGAAGGCAAACGTCGGAAAAGGGGTAGACTCCGGTTCAAGCTAAACAGAAACGCATCAAGCATGCTAAAACTATTTCCGCATCAAACAGGGTGACTGGATGCATGCAGCCATCAATTGCCAAGGTGCACAAAATATTGCACGCCTCCAAGGTAAAGCAAGCCCCACATGAAGAAAATAAAGTTGCGGCGCAGATCGACCTGGCAAGGGCAGGCACCTGGGAAGGCACCTGCAAGCACCTTTGTCGTCCGATTTGGCTTTGGGGTCGTCCCACGCAAAGGTACAAGCAGCTCTTCTGTTCGGAAGCAACACGTGAAGCGCCATTGTAACAGCCTAACGGCCTAGCACTGGGCCACATATCATTTTCACGGACACAAATGAAACAAGAACGCTTCCCCTCGTGGAAGGAGAACAAAACGGGTTGGGCCTGCTCACGCTGCTCCACCACTTTCTGGGCAAAAAAGTCCGAGGCGCAGGTTTTCACAGCTGATACAGCCACGCCAAAAAGGAAGGGTCGTCTCCTCACTGCTGAGCTTCGTTTGGGATTGTACGCGTTTCGGATTTGCTTGAAGTACCAAGTCTCCGTCCTCCCAATCTGAGACAAGAATAGGCCGCCTCGTCTTACAACCATGGCTGCTCGATGATGGAAATGAGTCCCTGCCTGTTACCAGTAGTTGTGGAAGAACATTCGGATCTTGGGGTGTTCGGCCATGTCGTCGCCAGTGTTTGTTGCTCCAACCTGCTGCTCTGCTCTGCCTGGGTTAGGCGCGGCATGTGCAACTTCCTAGCATTCGGGAAAGACCACGTACGCACCCAAATCTCTTGCAAGGCCATCGATGCTGCTCAAGCTCTGCACTTGAACCATGCAAAAACGCCCAGTAAGAAACTCCAGACGCACTGCTGTGCTTAAATTCTACGGGAAAGTCCACTGCTTCGACTGGTACTTTTGCTGAAGCTGCCGAAGCTGCTAAACAGCGACCCCGGGGTTTGTGACTGTGGTCGTTCCTTGAAGCAATCAGGTAGTACGGCAATGATAACTGATTTTGGGGATAACAATTCAAAGCACACAAAAATGCATGTGCGCCGCATCACGGGAAGTAGCAAGCCAATTGTCTCACCATGAAAAGCGTAGGTATACACTTGTCGGACCCTATCTACACAACGTACGCCAACATACGACAGGCTGCAGAAGCCGCTGCACCATTCTTGTGCAACATCACCATCTGACATGAAGACTGCAAGACATGTACAGTACAGATTGTTCTTGCTTCTGCAGCCGTGACAGTATTGAGTTAACAGTGCTCATATCCTCTTGGAGGATCGGCATCACAATTTGAACAAGCTTGCGGCTTGTGCTGACCGATACATTTCAAACAATGCCTTGGTCTACTGACTACGATAGCACAAGGATGACAGCTTTGGTCTCCTTCTCCTTGCAAGGTGCAATGGATGTTTCTTAATTAGACTCAGTCGTAGCGGCGACGGACATGTGGGAAGCCGGGCACCAAGCCAGGAATCCACCCGAAGTGGTTCTGATCTCGTGGCTCATAGAAACCGGGCCCTGGAGTCCGATCTCTGTCCCTTCGTTTCATCCTGGACGTTGCATCCTGGGTCCTGGACCTTCGACGTGAACTTGGATCACCTGGAGATGGTGGAGTAGGTGGAGGATCAGGTAAACACATTGGTGGCACACATGGAGGACCACATAGTGGAGCACACGGTGGTGGATCCAGTGTCTGTAGGAAGCATGGTAGTCTGACATATGGAGGAGTCCGAGCTGGTACACAAAGACTGGGCGCACTTTGCGGAAGTCTCAGAGCCCGTGGCTTCTGTGTAGCCGGTTCATATGCCAGGCATGGTCGCAGAGTCAAAGCTGGTCCCTGCATTGGAAAGGCATGCGGCTGATCTACTTCCACAATAGTCCTCACGACGGTCAAATGTTCCAACTGCGGTGTCATGTCTATGTATGAGTAGAGAACGGGCTGGCATACTCTTCTCATGCCTCTGTCCAAGTTCAAACATGGCAAATCGCCTACCAAATGCTCCAGACTGCCTCGCGCTCCACGGACAATAGGCACTTGTCGAATGATTTCCAGCAAAGGCTCTGGTTGCTGGAAAGCTGGTCTTGCCTGACCGACCGAAGGGGGTGTCCGGAGCGGCGGTTGGCTGTTGCAGGTCCGGAGAGGCTCTTTGCAACAATGCCTGCTGGACACATTTGGGTAGGGTCCCGGTGTTGGCGTCCCCAGTTGAGGCCGGATGACACGCTGGAATGAAGGTGCTGCTGGTTTGATGTCGATGCTTATGTGCCTCACAGGGGCGATTGAGCAAAGCTTCCTTGGATACAAGTCCGGAAAGCCTGCAAGCCTTAAGCAGGAAGACCCTTTCAGGCTCTTGCAGCGGGCTTGAGGAGCTGACTCTGTGAGTGCCTCCACGCAACTGTAAAGGGGAAGGACATAGACTTCTTCAACGGGAAAAGGCAACATGGGTGGATGTGGAATGCACTCTGGTGGTGGTGGCAATGGTGGTGGCACCGGTATAACAATGAACCTTCGCCTCAAGCACCGCCATGCAACCAAAGCAGCAAGAGTCGCAATCAACACCCCAACTGCCGGGCAAACAATGGCAATAGCCAAGTCTGGACAAGCTGTAGTGGTCACAGTCACAGTGCTGCTTGTGGAGGTTGTAAAGGTTCCAGTTGATGATGTGGAGCTGGACCTGGTGATCGTGCTTGTACTGCTGATTGTGCTGGAGGATGTCGATGTGAACGTAGTGCTGGTGGTAGAGGTCTTGGTGGTGGAGGTTTTGCTGGTTGTGGTGATTGTGTGAGATGTTGTAGTGGTGCTGTAGGTAGTGGTTGTCGAAGGGGTCGTGCTTGATGTTGTGCTTTGGGTAGTAGTTGTGGTGGTCGTGGTGGAAGTGGTCGTGATGGAAGTGGTCGTCGAAGGGGTCGTGCTTGATGTTGTGCTTTGGGTAGTAGTTTTGCTGGTTGTGGTGCTGCTGAGCGTAGTGCTTGAAGTAGAAGTGCTTGTTGTGCTTGAGGTCTTTGTTGTGCTTGAAGTGGTCATTGTGCTGGAGGTGCTAATTGTTGTTGAACTTGTTGACGTGATTGTTGTTCTGGTTTTGCTTGTGGAGGTCGTCCTGGACGAGCTCGACGAGCTTGAGGTGGTCCAGGTTGTAGATGTGGTCGTAACATGAAACCTCCACAAATCGCGTGCAACATTGCCATCAGAGTAGCCACCATGTACCCAAAAGGACATGCTCTTGATATCCCAAGCAGCGGCATGATTGAAGCGTCGTGACGGCCCTTGCTGCTCTGTAACTAGATCCCATATCCGTGTCTGTGTGTTGAACTTCCAGAGATCTCGCCGTGCCAACCCGTCGAATCCACCGTGAATCCAAATGGCGAGATTGGTGGGGTCCCAAGCACCGACATGATACGCTCGGCCCGATGGACCACCGTTGGAGATCCAGGTCCAGCGATTCGTGTTAGTGTCGAACTTCAACAAATCTCGGCGCAAGACAGAGCCACTCAAGCCTCAGCGCAGTCTTCAGGCCGCGCAGGTCAACGGCCACCCAGGCCCAACAGCGAGTTGTTTTAGAACAAAAAACACGAAAACGACCTTCCCTTCCGGAATCGCATCAAACCCAGAGGAAAGGCAAAGAGAACCTCTGTCGATTATGATTACTCCGGGGAAACACAACATAGACCAGAGCTCAATTTCAAGTGCGCTTTAACATGGACCACCGGAAACAGTGACTTCCTGGGGAAACGGTATTAGCGCTTTTTTTGGCAATTTCTGGACCCTCACTAACATGGACCGTTCCCACTCTCAGTCTATGATCGTTTTTGACACTAACATGGACCAACTGCAAATCTGACTATAAACTGAACGCAGGCTAACATAGACCGCGCCTTAGAGGTCAACATAGCCCGGTGGAGGCTAACATGGACCCTGCCAAGTACCCGTAGGGCCCACCATGGCATATCTGAATTTGGTCTAGGTTAGTCTCAACGGTGTCCGCTCCGAAACTAGACGAACATATGCCAAAAAAGGAAACATATATGTGTTTGGCGAACGTGTTAGTTTTCACCGGTGTAGTACTTGATTCGGGAAGCTTACTACCCTCAACATTGCAACTACTTGACTTGCCACTGGAGTTGTCAATGCATCTTGTTGGCATATAATATAGGTTGAAGGATCTGCAAGAGTCCAACATGTTTTTTTGATTGAATTGTTGTGTTCTTTCCAGCTAAGAGACCTCCATCATATCCACCATGAACCCAAATGGCAGCATTGGTGTCATCCCAAACAGCCACATGATGAGCTCGCGCCGAAGGCGGCTCATTGTCAACCACACGGCTCCAGGACCAGGAAGGTCTGTTGGGAGGAGAGTCGAATCTCCAGAGATCTCCCAGAAGGATGCCATGTCCGTTTTTTTCGCCATGGATCCAAAGCGTGGAACTGGCCGCATCCCACACTGCCACGTGATCGCTTCGGGGACTTGGTCCATACACGGTCTCGTCGGCTTCCAGAGTCCAGCTGTTGCCCGAATACCTCCAGAGATCTCCAAAGAACTTGTTATGGGGTCCGACGGTACCGGTAAACCCACCATGAATCCACAAAGATCGCCTCTCAGGATCCCAAACAGCCACATGGTCTGAACGCGCAGAGGGTCTGTATTGTCGTCGTTGCTGCTTCAGATCCCAAGTTCTGCTTTCAAAATCAAAGGTCCATAGGTCTTCCAGGACTAGCTGTTCATTACCAGCATGGATCCAAAGCTGTTGGCTTGCAGAATCCCAAGCAGCAGCTTGCACAGACCGTCCAACAGGTTGGAAGGGCGAGTTCACGGTTTCATTGATCCACTCAGCAAACACTGTCAGAAAATTGGCAATGCAAAGCGGTAGGCAAAGCCAAAATACCATAGACCTTTGGCCGCTTTCTTGGGCTCTGAGCCGAAAAAACTTGCACCGGCCGAATGGCGGCGGACCATAACTGCCTTGATTTACGAATGGTGGACCGTCACTCGTGTTTGTCCGCGTGTAATCCGCGAGTTTTGGGCCAGTCTGGGGGCCTTCACAATTCGACTACGCCGAACAACAAGTGATAGATAGTAAATACTTTACATGCAGGAACGGATCAAACAGGATGGTGACAGGTGACAGAGCGGAGCCGGGATGAACGGGATGACTATGAAATTGGAGATCAAATGGTGAACGCCAGGAAACACGTACACAACCCAAATTTTCATGATGCAAGAGCTTCGAAGCAACCCCATTAGTTGCGTTTCCAAACATTGTGCAAAATGACAAAGGACAGGCATGCCCAGTTCTTGTATGCAAACATCTTTTCAAGAAAAGAGGGATAACCGGGATAACTGCATACTGTAATGGCATAAAACTACAACCGTGCAAGTCCCAAACTTGTTTGCATTGTAAACAATGATTTTCACACCCCAAGAAGGACGCAACAGCCACAACGGGGGCCCCACCACTTGGTTGGAGACGAGTCAAAGAAGCAATTTGTTTCACGAATTGTTGCTGCACACTGCATGAACTCCAAATTGACAAACCTTCAAAGCCTTGTGCAAAAAAGACATCCACATTAAGAAACACAGGAGCCAAATCTTGTGCAAAGAAACGCCCAAAGCCAGCACAGTAAAGACCCCACACATGCCATAAACAGAAGAGGAGTAAAGTCACTTTTCATGGAGAAACGCGACCCAGCAATCAAATGCCAGCCCTACAATGTGAGGCACCGGTCACCATAGAGTTTATGCCAATGGTCTGACGGCAACAGGCTCCTCCATGACTCCTCCGCCGCACAATTTCTGCCCTGCTCCCCAGCTCTGGCTCGCCAGCTTCGCTCCCTGTTCCTTCTCTGCCTTCCTGCTCCCCGTTCCTTTGTGCTTGGCGGTTTTGAATGATGTTCTTAGGTTCTTTGCCACGTGCCTCGTCGTACGGCGAGCAAAACATATCATATCATCATATCTTAATATATTATAATTGTGAATCTGCAACTATTCGGAATCTGTCTTTTTGTCAACGATATTTGTAATTGTTGTAAACGTCCTTGGAGTTCAGAACGTTGTATGAGGCCTCGCACAGGTCTTGTTCAATACATCGAAAAAAAGGAAACAAATAAAAACGACATGATGTCCAGGATTGTTGTGATCTTAGGCCTTCATCTGGCAGTGTATGGGCCACCAGCTCTGCTATCTGCAAGCGAAGCTCTCCTCGATATCAATTCTATTGTCATGGGCTATCGTCGCTCGTCACCAATAGACTTTAGCAGGTAGCTATCTTGCTTTTAGGCAACTGAATACATGCATGAATTGTTTTGCTCAATGCACATTCCCAGGAGCGTTTCGAAGAGTTGTGCATAGAATGCACACGGACACTCTGAGAGCAGTGCGGCATTCTTCCCTCAAAGCAGCTGAGCGGGCCTGCAAGCAGCTCAAATCAAGATCCAGCTAATCCACAGTGATACAGGATATACACCCGCCTCCTCCTCTCGTAATTCTGCCACACGGCTTCTCAATTGAGCTGCCACCTCACCAAAAGAATCAACTCCAAATAAGACTCAAACATCAATGGTTCCCTAAAACGAAGCACGCTCGGTCCTCCTCCAGGTCTTTTGCCCTGACGCCACGCTCCAACACAAACACCTGTCCTTCCAAGTCCTGACGTTCCAATGTGGATTAGACTGGTAGCTTCTTGTTCCTAGTATGTTCCTAGTAGTACAGTAAGGCACCTTGTTACTAGTAGCGATTCCCTTGTTACTAGAAGCTTTTTGCTACTAGTCTCAAAAGTCAAGAGTCCTTCATGTCCTTTTTGAAGCCTACCCCTACGCAGCATCAGACACCTGTCTTGTCTTTACCCCCAAAAGACTCATTGTCACCCTTTCCCAGTGATTCAGCTTCCACTCCTCTATCTCGGCCTTCACTTCTGCCAGTCTTGCCTCCTCGCCCTAACAAATTTGGCCCAATTGGTCCAATCACTGCATTCAAAGGCGTCAAATGGAATGGACCAATGGACCAACGGAAGGATGACAGGAAGAGATGCCCAAGTCCTCTCAGCTCCAGCTAAGGTCCGGACAACTTCTTGAGAGCTATTCCCGGTGCCTCCATCATCATTGCCGGTCCTGGAACCAACAAAATTGAACATGCTAAATCTACACTGAGCAGTGCTGCAACTTGCAAAGCCAAATAAACTGAACTCAGTGGGCCATGCCACTATGCTTTCACCCTCTGTGTAGCGCGCCTCTCTGGGCTGTCCAACGCCTTCTGAAGAGCTGTGACAGCCGCAATCATCAGCGGACATTGACGGAGAACACCAGGCTTTGCAGAGAAGTTGGGAGCGGACACTCCATTTGGGGTCCCAACTCCTTGCAGGGCCTCTAAGGACTCCCGAAATGGCTTCATGAGGTCGCTGACTGCTCGGCACTGGTCTGCCCAGCTTTCCGGCTTTGCGGACTGGGCTGTTTTTGGGTCGACGAGCTGCGCCTCCATGGGAGAATCTTTGCAGAATCTTTGTTCAGCATCGCTCTCCTTCCAATCGATGACTTCAGAGGCCAACAAATCGGACCGATTGGAAGTCATCTCTTTCACTTTGCTCTTCAAGCTCTTCACCTCATCTACTTCACCTACTCCACTTCTCGCCAAGCTCTCTCCGCTTGTCACATTGACCCAGCGCGGGCTTTTGTCTTTCAAACACGAGCCACGCTCCCAGCCCCGTGGTGCCACGCTGGGGCGAAGTTTCTCTGGAGTCGCAGGTGCAGGTGCTGACCATGGAGACCTGCGTGGGCCACGTGGTGTGACACCACTGCTGCGCGCTGCAGTAGTGGTGCGTGTTCCAGGTGACAGAAGTCTCTCGGCAGATGGAGGACCTGCAAGCGGTTGGTCTGGATCGTGGTTACCTCCCTTTTGTTATCTCTTTGTTTTTTTTTTCAAAAATCTGCCCACAGTTGTGAATGGCTTTTTCATTTGGGAACGGAATTGCATTACCTGCTTCCTGAGGTGTGTCTGGAGGGAAGTGTGGTGGGAAAAAAGCACACACACACAAGAAAACAGGAAAAATGCAAAGTTTGGCATCATGTTATTTGGAGATATTTGGAGGTGCTGTCCAACATCTGGTGCGACCGGCGATTGTCGTGAAGCGACCTGTTTTTGACGGCTCTCGGTCTCAATTTGAATCACTCAGGTTCGCAGGCCCACCTCGTTGAAGAACTGGGCTTAGAGGCAGACTGTACTTGCGCTGCTTCATGGCGTTTGACAAAAGGCTGGATTCTACTGCTCTGGTTCTTCTCTACTTTCTTTTTGACACTCTGCTCACGGACCAATCATATGCTAAAACTATGTCAATGTATGGCTAAAGACAATGCCAACAGCACAATAGCAAGCCAAAATCTAGTGGAGCAAACCATTTGTCAACAAGTACAGTGCTTGCAAAGCTACACCAATGACCAAACTAGGACACTCTGCATGTCCAGGAGACTGAAGCAAAAAACTGGATCATTCAATCCTTTTGCTTGCGGTCCGTCGATAAGATTTAAACAGGTGTCGGAGCTTCCATTCGCAAATGCGCTGCGAAGGAAGCTCCTGAGGAGGCACTGGAAGAGGACAGAAAAAAATAGTAAAAGGCAGAAACAGCACATATAAAAAGTCATGCTCAGGTGCAGCCTTCTCCCAGTAGCTTGGACTGTGCTACAAAATAGATTGTTGGATCGCCACTTCCTTGGGTTTTTCAGCGTTCAGCGTTCAGCTAACCTATCCAAAGCTTTTTCGGAAAGGTTTCCCTGGAACGCCACTTCACAAAAAGAGTGGCTCTTCTCATGTTACTAGTAGCTTCTTGTTGCTACTAGTAAGGCACCTGTTACTAGTAGCGAGGCACTTGTTACTAGTAGCTTCTTGTTACTACTAGTAATGCCAGGAGCTCTTCTCATGATGCTACATACATCGGACAAGTGACCACCAACGGTCTGTGGGAATCCAACACATCCAACGGTTCGTCCGACTGTGCGCACACACTCAGTGCACTCGAATGCGTTCTGGTGCCTGCCAATGGAAGGCTCTAAAACATATGCCCTACACACCGAAGCCGTTGAAAAAAACAACAAGAAGTCTTCAAAACCAGAGTAGAATGCAACATGCAAAGAACATCAACCTTTGCTTTTTCAGCAATGCCCTTGAATGTGTCGATGCTGCCTTTTGGGGCTTCCAGGTCACCTCCTGCAGAAGCAAAAAGAATACACTGCTTCCATGTGGAAGCACCCTGCACCAAAGGTTTGCTGGGCTCCAGCTAGCGAAAGGTACTGTTGAATACGCTCAATACTACGCTCAATAACTCGGAAGCTCAATGATGAGGCCATCAAGCTGGCCCTTCTGACTTTATAGCTAAAACATGCTAAAACCCCGACGAACGCAGGCGTTTCGTGGAACCAGTCCGGCAGCATTTCAATAGCTCTTCCAGGCCTCAGTCCACCAAGGTGCACAAGAAGTGAGCCGCCAGATACTAAGTCATTGAAAGAGCTGTGTAACAAAGCTTGGTATTGTTGACAGACTCAATTAGCAGTTGGCAAGTTAGTGAAATGTTGCACGAAACAAACACGTACTTCCAGGCAAGAGTTCCATCTTCCATCTCCCCAAACTGCAAAGGCTTGCAGCCGCAACTTTTCTGGCCAGGCTTTACACCGCGCGACCACCAAGCAGTCTTGGCTTGGTGGAGTTGGGAAACAACGCCAGCATTTTGGTTTCCTTTCATTTGGGGTGAGCTATGTTATCTTGTTAGGACACAAGGACAGGCATAGCATGGCACACTGCAGAAGGTTGGGGTTAAAGTACAGTTGGAATCTTAATTGTTTTGGGCCTACTGGAGCAGACACATTTGGTTTGGAAAGAGGTGGATGTTAGGGAGGATGTCTTCCTGACTTGTGCAAGCTGAAAACGGACTTCACTCCTCCTGTGTTGTCTTGCCAAAAGTGAGGAGCGGTCTGCAGCAAGTCTAGGATGAATTCAGAAGCCAGCAACAAAAGGTACTGCTGTGGCCTTCAAAAGTCATGCAAGTTGAAGTCGCTACAGCCACACAGAAAGTCTGTAGAACTTTGTACCTCAACTCAGCAGAATGTCAAAAACATTTGTTGACATGGGACCATTGGCAACTTTGCTCTCAATCTCCTCCCACAAGTCAATAACGCTCCTGGCATCAGGAATGTCTTGCGAGCCCTCCAGTGTTCTGCTATTGCCTCATAAAATCCATCTGATTTCAATGCAATTCGCACTTAATTATATACTACAATGCTTTTGTTTTTTGACACATAGCATGCCCATGTCTTAATTTGTAGCAGTCACAACACCCCTTCCTGAGTGTATGAAATCCCTGTTTAAATATCATCTAAGGCAATAAACAAAGGATAAGCACTAGAACGACGCAAATGATCTCGACGCAAATGCACTGAGCCTCACAAGAACAAGCGAATTCATCCAAACAGTCCTTGATCCATAGGCGGCAACTATGTCTGAAATACCCTGAAAATTAAAGTCAAATGGGAGACCGACCAGCAAAGGACAAACTCTTGAAGTACATCATGGAGCTGAGATGGACTTACAAACAGTCAGCAAAGCAATCTCAATCGAAGCACCTTGGCCCCGCAAATGCTTGCGTCTGGGACACAGGGACGCCAGTTGAAATAAGCATTGTCCGGCATCCAATACCTCAGCTGAAATCTCTTGGGCTTTAGGTTTTATCCAATGTTTGTTGTGGTGTAGTTCTTACTATCAAAGCCCAGAGCTGTGTGAAATCACATGCATGATAGTTTGACTAGGTCTCTGGTTCTGCAGTTCAAGTTTTCGGTTCTCAGCAAAAAGACTCGATCCACTGTAGAATGTACCACGATAGATAGCTGATAGTGCTTTGGCGTACAAGTAGATCCTGCTTGCTGGCACAAGCCAGACCACCATCTACTTTGCTGGCAAGTAGTTGAACTTGAAAGGTAACCACTAAAAAAAATACAGTGGATATTGTTGACAATCACAATTACACCCGAGCCCTGTTCTTGGAGTGGTTACAATGGGGTGTATATAACCCAGGGATTATAGATGGGCTCCTGCCTTATGCAAAACTACATGTCCACACTGGTTTTAGCCAAAAGACGCACTTGCTGGTGGGTCAGGATCTGCGCATCGACGAAGACATTCTTGGCAGGCTGCACCAGGAAGGATGTAGCATTGGTTGCCAGGATTCTCAGTGAAGTCGGAGTAAACGTAGTAGTCCTTGGAAATCATGGGTGATGGCACGTTGCCACATCTTGTATGACCAGACGATATAATCACCTAGGATTTTGCAACCCTGCGCTGAGGAAAGTGTCCAAAGGTAGAGTGCCCCAAGTAGTTGCAGCCAACGCCTTACAAGTGAGGGCTCAGAAGTCCTTGCAAATTCCTCCCTGCATGCATGATGCATTTCGTACTGACTAAATGTCTATATAATAATACAAATATAAATATAAATATATATATTATATACATGACTTTCTGAGCTTGTGAAGTGTCTGCGCCCCTGCCTGGCCCAACCATACAGCCAGAAATCCCAGTTGTGAGTCGCCCCACCTGAGAAACATTGAACGAAATGATCCGCTTCTGATTTTTCCACAACACCTCCGCACTGTCACGTAGACTACAATGACTACAAGATCCATCATATCTGCATCCAAACCGCCATAGCCCTGCCAGCCATGGTCCAGCACCCACAGAAGAGACCAATGCTTTCAAGGCGGGCTGCACGTCCTCTGCAATAAACCGTGCAAAGCAAGACATTCCAAAGAACTTCGATACTATTGCAAAGATATAGCATGTTTGCTCAGTGCCAGCATACTTCCTCCCAGCCTGGCCTCATCGTAAGAAGTTAGTGCCAATGACCTGTACCATGCGCGCACCTGCTGACAGAACACTAAATCAAGCCAAACAAGGAAATCGACGTCACAATCTCAACACAGCGCGAACACCTGCTTCTCAAAGGACGCCTTTCCCTGGCCCATATCTCTTTGTGCAGGTAATCGATTCGTACGAGCCAGGTGAAGGTTTGGCATGGTCTCATCAAAAAAGCCTTGACTCTCGCTCATGAAGACGACAAATGGCCTGTTCAAAACAAAGCAACCTCTGAGGCGCAGTCGTTCAAGTTATTGCAGGTGATGGCAATGAAGGAGCTTAAGGTATATTGAAAACTATGGCAACTGAGGCATGTTGTTTCTCCTGCCTTGAAGAGCTGATCTTGACATTGGCACCTGCTAGTGGAACCTCCACAAGATCATTGTCCAAAGGGACATCCGCTAGTTCCATGGGCGAGTCAAACCTTGCAGTGCCATCTAGGGTCTTGAAGAAGTTCCTCGCTCCCAGGATCCACAAAGGCTGCCGGACTTGGGGAAATGGATGGCTTTCCGAGAGGAAGTACGCCAAAACGGTGACCTCCGGGAAGTAAACGGACAAGCGCTCGTCCTGACCACCACCCAGACCACAGGCTCCAGCATCAAAAAGGTAGCCACCAAACCAAGATGCTGAAATGTCCTGGGTCGCCTGGCCTGCTAGACCACCAGTCATGAAATCCACTCCAACAGCATCCTGGGGACGGGCCTGGCATCCAGAGGTCGGCACTGTCTCCAGGTGTTCATAAGCACCTGCAACTGCTCCAGTATCGTAATCACAGACCCGAAGACCAGCACTGGTCAATGGAACAGCTTCACCCTTGGCCTTCTCCCGAACCGCCTCCACTGATGGGGCCACCTTGGCCTTTGCGGCCAAGAGGATTGGACCTTGGCCACCATTCGCCAAGGTGGGATCGGCATAGCAGGCCGCCAGAAGACTTGCGAAGGCCTTCCGGAAGTCGCCGGTCGTTTTGCACATCTTCATCAACCTCCGAAGTCCACTTTGGTATCCGGGCGTCTTGGAGCCCAAAAAAGGCTTTGGCGGTGATATGGCAAACCTGTCGGCGAGAATAGGCCACCCATCCACCATGACCCAATTGGTCATCGTCCTCTTCTGGCCAAGGTACAAGAACTCCAGGTTCACCGAAGGGAGTCTCGGACTGAAAAACTTCCAACCATGCTGCCACCTCATCGACTGATCCCAAGGATCCAAAGGGATTGGCATTCTCAAAAGGTGCGCCTTAGCCAGATCGAGGTCCCTCTGAAAGGATGCAGATGCTTCTCCTGCCCACCACTGTCTTGACCAGGTATGACTCATACCGATACCCATATGGGTGCTGCCAAGTTTCTCAACGCCTGTTTGATCTGCCAAAGCTTTGTGTTGGTCGGCGTCCACCGAAAGAGCTTGGACTCCTCACCATCGGCAAGGTGAGGAGCAAAGACGCAGTAGAACTGTGTTAACTTTGTTCAGCTATTCAGCCTTGTTGGACATGTAGGCACCGCCCAAAGACTTTGCTGGGAAGCGCTTTTTGGCCTGGCAGGTTGACTCCAGGAGAGATGTGGTCAGAACCTATGGACCTATGGAATCTCTGCATTCAGCTGCTCCACTCTGTTGCTGTGCCTGTGTAAGGTTGGGCTCTTGCAGCAGCTGTAAGGAGTCGTCGCACTCATCTGGGCTTGATTGAAAAGAAGCAGAAAAAGGCCACTAAGAACTTGGGCATCTCCTTGTTACACAGAGTACAAAGTTGCACAAGGCTTACATTTGTCCAGACTTTGCCAAAACGGGAGATTCAACATGATCCTAAACTCACCTGGTGCACCGTTCAGTTCCCCGAGCGCCAGGTTCAGTGCCACGAAGGCTGAAAGGCCTGACGTTGGAACCGAGAAGACGAAGGAAGCACCAAGAATCACCGGCGCTATCACTGGCCATTCGATTGGAAGTACCCAACAAAAAACAGCAGAAGCAAATAGAAACGCGTTCACGCCTATTTGTGCCCACATCATCAGGATGAAGAGAGGTACTTCACTTCTCGAATGCTTTGAGGCTGCGGGTCAAAAGCCAGGTACAATGTCCGCTGTGCTACATTCGATACGTGTGAAGTCTAGTCTTTCTATCTAATTAGAGGACTCCGCCGCTACCCAAAGTCTTAAAAAGCTGCGCGCCTCAAACCTTTTCTCATGTCGTTCTGCCTTGATGGTACAAATGAGCGAGTCACAGTTCTCCTCACCCACTACATCTCTTGCGTCACTTTGGATGATAGGGCCCCATCCATGAAGCAAACTGGCGGAGCCAGCAACTCCATATAACTCCACGATTCGAGCTACTGCTGCATGGAAAAGCGCAAAGCACTGTGTCAAAGCGCATGCAGCGTTGGAGCAAACTCGCAAAAAAACAGCATGTTGATCGCTTCTGAAGCGGTGGAAAAGGTTGACACAAAACGATGCCTAATCTGCGAAGAATGTCAAACTCCTTCGAAATCGTTTGTTGCTGTTGCTTTTCTCTCTTTGGCTTCGGCCTCCTGAAGCGCTTGAAATCTGCACTTGACTGAAATCCCCCAAGTCAGGTCCAGCAAAAAAACCTCCCAGTGAAACAAACAAGTTCTTCAGGGCTTGGATTTCTTCGATTCTAAAATACTGGGTCAATCAATTGAACCACACAAAAGTACCGTGTCTGAGAAGTTTCTGCTGGTACTGCAGTCACTACACACAACGGTGTTATCCGGCCGATCCAAGTGTGCTGCCACTTCAGCTGTTGTTAAAAAAAATACCAAGGCCGGCTGCCACCGATTTGAAGAGCCGTAGTGCATTTCTGCAACCAAATTATCTTGAAGATAATTTCCTGGAGTGTTGGAGCATCACTTTAGAGGCCATCGCTTTTGTGTTCGTCTTCCGAAGACTTCATACAACTTAATATCTTGCTGAATCACTCGGCTCATACAGAAATGCTCTATCAATACATCTGGCCGCAGCAATCTGCAGGCCACGGTTTGAGACAGTCCATGTCGTGAGATGCAGTGCTCAAGGCAGCATGTTGTAGCACGCCGAAATTGCATGAAATTGCTCTCTCTCTATATTTACCACTGGTTCTAAGCGAGCACTCGTCTTGGACACGCGTGAAACTGGGCGGCAGGAGCAATCTCCATGCCATCCCATGCAAAACATCAATCGCAAATGCCACGCTTCGAGGGCTATGACACAATGCATAAGGATGAAGGCAAGTGATTCGATGGAAGAGCTGACACTAGCTAGCATGGTTTCCACGCATCAAGAAGATTGATCATGGATTGATATTAGGCAGGTAAGACCTCAAGGCCTTTGATTCCCTCCGGATCATATCCTAGCGAAAAGCAGGTTGGCAAACAGTTCTGTGAAAAGGAACATGTCTCGAAGTGTTCAAACAATCATCCGTCCTCATGGTTCAGCTGGAAAGCACTTTGTGCGACCAACCTGGGAGATCTAGACAAACAATCATGACTGTGTACTTGTGTAGGTAAAATAGCTTAAATTCTGTTTGAGACTCCTTTCATAGGGGGCACCTGAGAATCTCTGAGCACCTTGTGTATGTACAGTGGTCCCCAAATGAATAGAAACGGTTCCCAATCCATTCTGAAAGGAATTTTACTTTTCTATGTATTTGAGGGTCTTATACACGAATGGTCTGACCGTCGTCAATTCGACCCTGGAGTCCTGGGATCCACGCTGGAAGCGGGAGAGTCTCCCGGATTAGCTCAAGACCTTGGGCCATGGAGGCTGGAAGCATCCAATGAATATTTTGGTCCAGGAGGATGATCCACCCTGATTTACAGAGAACATGACAAAACAAATCAGCTACACCGGCATAATCATCACAGAATAGCGGCCTTGCACATAGAATATTACATATGAATTAAATCGAGAACTCAAACATGTACATGATAGTTAGACCTCAAATAGAGATTATGAACATGTTTTTTCGAACAGGCTCAGAAGCCCACTGCAAGATCCTTTTTTGTTGCTCCTATTAATGCCCTATATGCAATATAGTATATTTACAGAGCACATGGCGATGTGACTCCATGGCTTCAGGGCAACATGTCATCCTACCGCCATGTCGAATGTCAGCATACACTTATCTTATGACATTACGCCAACGTGCCAGCATACCGATATGCCGTAGCATAGTGGTCGCCACAGTACACCAGAAAAACGAGAGACTTTGCATACAAGAGTATTTGACCTCCTTCTCAGCACTAGCCAGTGGAAGACAAGTGACACCTGTCTCTGGCCACCAAGGTATCGAATACAAGTGCCTGAGGCTCGTGGCGGTTCAAAAGAAAATCACTGCGGAAGACCCCAAGACAGTTGGAAGAACGTGCCCAACAACCGTTTTGCAAAGAAACATCAATAGCAGTTCGTTTTGTAATCAACTTGGCAAAACGCCATTGTCCATCTACAATGAGAGCTCTGGTGACAAACATGTCAACTTGAGTGGTTCAGCATGGTTCAGCACCTGTTGGAATCTGAGAGGAAGACCAGGTGCTGCGGTGCAGCCGAAAACAGCTTCGAGTATCCGCCACCACTCCTCATGAACTACAAACATGTCATGTTCTTTGACCAGAAAAAACACTGAGAACACAACTATGAAAAGACTTGCTAAATAACTTGCTAAAGTTGCTAAAGCTCTTTTTGGTAGCTCCCAGTCCAATGGAGTCCAATGGACAGATCCTGACAACAAACAATCTACGGATCCCCAACCTGGTGGAGGATGGCCACTTTCCCTTGCCTTGGCATTCGAACAAAAGGATGAAAAAAGAAGAAACAAAAGAAGGCAAAGGTAAGGGATGGAAAGGGCCCAAGGGTGCTTTAATGAGGCCCTTCTTGAAGAGGCCCTTGCCTTTTGTTCATCTTGTTCATGTTCCCTTTCAAGTTTTGAAGCCATCTTTTCTGCTGCAGTACGTCTCAGGGCCAAACTTGAGATGCCCTCATCCTGCCCAAGTATGTCAATCCGTCAGCCGAGCTGTTGAATATGCAGTCGGCTAAAAACCAACTATAGTGCCCACTATACTTCATTTCTGCCATCTCTGGCAACGACTGGCCCTCTGGCCTCTGGAAACATGTATATATCTTTGCCCGCTCGCTGGCGGGTAGGGTTGGGTAGTTGCAATGTCCATGAATCTCTTCTCCAAGAGTCCAACATCCCGGCAAACGAAAGAAACACAGACCCACAGTTCAGAGAGCGAGCAGCACATGGCTACAAAGGTTGTAGATCTAGAAAGTATACAATCAACATACAATGGGTAGATTCACATACCTGGGGATGTGATCTTCTCAGACTCAGATTCTTCTGCATTGCTGTCAATGGTCCTATGAGTTCAACTGTTTAGGCCGGAGATACACCCAACATGCATGTTTAGTTTCCAACCAAAGTCATGTGCACAAAAACAGAAGTTAATCTTTTGTTGAGAAGTCGCAACCCTCATGGAACCGTTGTCAGAGCAGCAGCTACATACACAACTTGGGATTCAAAGGCCTTAAAGCTATCACATACATGCATGAATCGACAGCATCGAAACTAATCTCTCCAGCCTCACTGTAGCTGCCCTGAGATGCCGCATAGCTGCGAGGCGACTCGTCCAACTGAGCTCATCTCTCCAATTAGACAAAATGGAATCAGAATACAATGCTCGACTTCTGCGTGAAATGTGAGACATGACATCAAAGCCCAGGAAGCAACACTCCCTTGATCCATGAAACTGGGACGCTAGCATGAGCAGAGCTCACACGTCCCACTGGGCCCTGCTCCTTGCATCAGGGAGATCTTCCCCACTTTCGGCTTCAAGACATGTCTCAAGAAAGTTAGTGTACAGCTGTCCAAACAAACAGTCAAACTATGTTAAACTGATCAACCTAAGCAAGTTCAGAGGATTTCAAAAGTATCCCCCCCAGCTTTCTGCCACTTGCTCCTCGTCGGTGCACAGCTGACGCATCTCAGATGGATCACGCACTACTCCAAAGTGGTCCTGACACTGATGGATCCAGGAAGCGACAAGAATCGAAGACAACGCAATTCAGCGAATCGGGTACAAGCTCACACCACAAATCCCCCTCGGATGGGACGTGCATCCCACTGGATCCGCTGATGTCGGATGCCAATGAGGAGCCAAGTCTACAATCCGAAAAGGCACAGTGTAGACTTGGGAGATCAACAACCTCATGACACCTTGGGTGTGTTGGGCTGCAGGCATGATCTCGTCCTCTGTGATCCTTGCACTCCTCCTGAAACAACCTCAGACTCAAGGCCACAAATAAGCATACCTTCTATATTGCTCCAGTTGTCCCTCCACGCCCTGGGGCAAAGGCGGCTGGCTGCGCTCGATTCCTCGCTTTAGGCTGTCTAGAACAAGTGGCTGCAATCCTTTGAATCATATGCCTGGCCTTGCCAAAACTGGCATAGCAAGTGAGCTGATCCTGTGAGCGCAAGATGCAAATCTCTGCTTCGTAAAGTTTAGATCAACGCTGGTCCTCTGCAAGCGCAAGGACAATGGAAGGCTCGTCGTAGGGCGCCTATCAAACTCAGCAGCTTCCAGGAAACATCTGCTTCACTGAGCAAGCACACAGTCTATGGTGATGCAATGCGGCATTCTTCGGCCGAGGAGTTGATCTTGAATGATCACTGATGAGGCAGAAAAAAAAGGAGATGAGAATCGGAAGGTAGAGCTAGTAGAGCTCCCTTTAAACGGGAGCCTTACCTTCCTTTGTTCATCTCATTTCAACAAAAACTCGGTTCCTGACCTTGGGAGGCGCCAAGAAAAGGTCCCTCTGAGCAAAGAACACCTGACCGATAAGGCGGTCGATTTGTCTTCCCACTTGGTCATATTGTGAATAATTCTTGGCTTTTTTGAGGACTTCGTGCCTTTCACAGCAAATTGTGAATATCTTTAGAGACTGGGTGTGTCAAAGAAATTGAGGTAAAGTTATTCGCATCGCTTCAATTGTCATCCGAACCTGTCCGGAATTCTTCAATCCAGTCAAGATAACGAAACAACCGCCTCGAGGGGCTCGCAGTGGTGTCTGTTCATTGCTTTCAGCATGGCCAAGGCCAGATGCAGCGAGGCCTGGCAAAGACGGATTGACTCTGAAAGCGAAAAACATCGAAAACACCAGCCTGAAATACTTAAGTTTATGCCACTTCATGATAGAAGATATACTGTATAGTATTTAGTACTGACGACCACTGCTGTATTGGCTCAAACATGCTCAAACAGCCGCCTCATCCACTTGATTCTTTCCGCGGGTCAAAGTGCTTGCAGTGGATACCTAATGAAGAAATGAATTCAATCAGTGAATGGCGGTTGCCACACTTGTAGACTGCAACAGATCGATTGCCCTCCGAGACGTCCGGCACTGGCCAGGTCATCGTCCCGTCGAGCCCGAGGCTCTGAAGACCTCCCAAATGTCCCAAAGAAAACACGGTTGAAATGAAGCTTCTAAATCTCCAACACATGTCATCATGTTTTACATGTAAAAATGTAAATAAAGATTGGAGATGCCCCATTTCCGTGCAGAAAAAACACCATTTCCTTGCAAGCTCTGCAAGTCGAAGCGAAACCCTTGGCTGGGCTCAAAGGTTGAGGCCGTGGCTTTTGGTTGCCAAGCAACTTGCGCATGAAGGAAGCCCAACTGTCACCCTGCGAAACAGGCCATGTCTGAAGGCAAAGCCACTGAAGACTTCTGCACCCCCTGAAGCCACGGGACATGACGTAAAATGACATTTGACTCACTCACCAGCTGCCTGCGCACGCGGGGGCAGCAAGATCATGCCATCCACCTCGCCAGCTGCAGAGCGGCCAAGCTCAGCCTGGACAGCACCTGAACAAATCAGCAAAGCCTGACTGAAAATTGAAAATAGGAATCTAGCTCTAGCTTCTTCTATGTATATATATATACATATAATGATGTTGTTCAATCAATATCTCTCCCTCTTTGTAATTGTATATTGTAGCTAGATCTTCTCTCATATCGACTTTGCACGTTCAATGTTACACTTCCCATCCATTTCCGCCAGCACACTCTCCCTGAAAAAGAGCAAATGTTCTGATATATAGTTGGCCAATATTGGCCATCTGGTAAGAGAACCATCTCATTTCACACGCCAACATATCGAGCACTACAGTATCGCATGCCAGATTTCAAGAGACTTGTTGACCTCCGGTCTTGCGCGCATGGGACTCAGCCTTCCAGTCCACTGGCAACCAGTTCAAAAGATCCAAGTGGGCAGCTCACCCGCAGGCCACAGTCGTCCTCGAGTAAATCACTCAGTGGGGCCGCAGGCGCGCGCAGACGTTGTCCAATGGCGACGATCGATTGCAAACGAGTCGTTCGTGTCGTCTTTCGTGTGTGGTTGAGGGGGCAATTTTTTTTGAGGGGGCCATTGCAGTCCTGCAAAATCGTCAGCGTGCCACGCAACGTCAATCGTTCAGATGTGATCATTCTCACCTGCAGAAATATCATGATGAGCTTATGATCAAATTGCTGCCAAGCACCAAAGCACTTGGTCACCAGAATCACCACAACTCGCTAAATATCAAAAGACTGGAACATGCTGCTGGGTCTGCAACGCCAAATCGTTCCTGCGATGAACTCTGAGCTTCTACCTGCAAACTGCATCCCACTGAACAAAGGCAGCTTCTACATGAGAGACTCAGACATTGCAAAAACCAGTCCGTGTAGAAGCCAGTTGTTCATTCAAAGATCAACGAGGATGGCCTTTCCCTGAGCAGCGCATGTAGGTTGGGCCGACGGTCCAAGCAAAGGCCGCAGGGTATCCAGCAAAGCATTGAAAGCAGCCTCTAGGGCCTCAGCATGAAGTCTCGAATAAACCAAAAGATCTAGAAACTCAAAATTCAAACATCCGGCGCTGTAAGGTGAAGAAATCCAGAAATACCACCCTCCAGCCTCCAAACGACGGTCAACCAACTCAGATCTGTGCATCTCCTGGGAGTTGAACATGTGATGCTAGGCTCTACGATCAGGGACATCCACACAAAACATTAATATACATCATGCACATATATATTATATATATATATCATAATGGGCCCTACCTTAGGGGGGGACTAGGTCACCACCAAAATTTAGTTATTTATTAATTCCAGGCCTCTCGAGTTAATACAATTAAGACTAGACCAGTGCAAATTAGTTTTTGACATGGCAAATTAATTAGCAATGCGGGGAGTGTTTATCATGGTTTGTAGCTGATCTGGAAATTAATTAAGGGGCATGGACTGGAGTTAAGTATTTGTGGGGTGGTCAAGCACTCAACCACCCAAGCATTAATTGGACACTGTTTGACAACAATTGAAATCAGTTGACAGCATTGGGCAAACAAAGCTGTTTCCCATTGTTTCATAATATGTCCATCTATTTCGTTCTTTCACCTTCTCCACCATCTATTCTTCTCTTAATTTGTTTTGTGCGAGTGGATCTTAGTCAGCGAAGTTTGAAGCTATCACTGACGATCCATAAGCGGCGTAGCGTCGGAACGGAAACCGCACCTTTTCTAGTCGCTTGATCCTTGAGCCAAAGTACATATGGTACATATATATGTACAAGTTGCACTGTACGTGTCGCTGCACTTCCATTCACACCCCCCATGTGAACGGCAACAATATGTTCCGATCACACACGAAAATTTAGGGATGTAAGTGCTACAAAAGAAATTGTATGATTTGCCGCGAGACTCATATGAGGCTCATACTACGAAACATGCTGGACTAAAGCGGACTTTTACATATAAAGTGTGCAACTATGGCTCAGAACCTATGAAAATCGAATTGAACAAGTGAGACAGTCACGAGGCCTCGCTCAGTATCCACTCAAAAGAGCATCGCTTTGATGTAGATCCGAACTGGTGACTTCCACGTAGATGTCACATCGGCAACTGACTTCACACTTCTCAAAAGATGTAGGTTTTGGTTTGGATACACTTACAGAACGGCAAGTCGGAGAGACAGTCGGTGACTGTCTGCCTTCCATTATGCTCATGGTATCAAATCGGATTGATGATTTGCAATGATACACTTACAGCGTTTCAGGTCAGATAGACATCCGGTGAATGACTTCCTCCCTGGTTTGCATGGTATCCTCATAGTCGTTCAAAGAAATCACCACTGGCGATAACCTCTCCATCCACGATGATCCCAGCTGCCCTGAGCATCCCGCCGATCATCTTCTCCCTTCTTGGACTTCCCTTGGACTTGCTCTTTCCCTTCCCCTTTTCAGAAGGTTGAGGTACTTCGCGACGTTCTTGCGTTAGCGCCGGCCTCCAAGATGTTCCAGATTGGCCTCCTCCTTTGGAATGTCCTCGGGATGATGAAGAAGTTGTACCTTCTGCTGCATGTGCGTTGGCGGCAAGATCTTCCTGCAAAGCTTGCTCAAACACATCGGTAGCACTGGATGGTGATTTATCATGTGGTCTGGCTTTTGGAGCAGCCTTCGCCTTGCTCTCCTCTGCTGATGAGGGCCCGAAACTCTTAGGTGCTGTTGAAGGTTTTGGCTCCTCACTTGGTGCTGACGACGGCTTGGCCTCGGTTCTGGGTGTAGATGCTGGCTTTGCCTCAGCTCTTGACGAAGATGCTGCTTTCGCTTCAGACTTAGTCGTTGATGTTGACTTAGCTGTTGCCTTGGCTGCCTGCTTCTTCTTGCCCTGAATCTCCTTGGCCCTGTCTCCAAAGCCTAGACGATCGGTAAGAGCTTGAACATGCTTCTGTTCTACCACGCTCATCCATCTCTCTGTATGTCCAATGTTGGGATTTCTGGCCATTGACTCTACGACATTCTGAGCGTGTGGGGGCAACCTGATCTCATGTTGATCAATGATCAGCAGAATAGACTTCTCCCATTTGCTCTTCATTCTCGAGTACATGATGTCCAGAGGATCGATCACCTTGTGGTTGGGTGATGTAACGTCGGTTCTAAAGTAAGAATATGTCCGACAACCATAAATCGCATGGATGCACTTCTGTACCAATTCAGTCATTGCGCTGGCTTTCTTCGCTTTCAACTCCTCAAGCTGGACGTCAGTCAAGTTGGTGGAGTATTCGAAGTTGCCATATTCCTTCTTGAAGGAGTACGGAGTATGACCAAATGATAGGATCACGAGTGCCACCTTGCAAATGAATTGCTCTCCTCTGAATCGGTGCCAGGCCTCCTCAATCGTAATCTTGTTTTCGTTGGCAAAGATTCTCATCATGTCATCTGTTGGATCCAATGGTCTCCCATCGTCATCGATTTCAGTGAAATCCTCTGTACCGAACTTGCTTATCACATCCAGACGCTTCCTTTTCCAATTTGCTTTGAAGTCGGTAAGGCTGGTGCAATAGTAGCTCTTGTACATCAGGGAGATCATGTTCAGCACACATTTGACCACATACCTATCCATCAAACCCGATGCATTCATGGAGACGTCCTGACAGTAGGCTCTCTCTTGATGCGCATAGATTCGAGGTTCCGGTACTCGACAATAGATGGGGAGATCTTCGTTGTCTCTTCCTTCTTCGGGATTGAACTCGGTCGCTCCATGCTGTGCATAGTATCCCGGTTCATCACGATCTGTCGGTCGATTCGCCTCCGGATGTAAGTCGTCGGTGACGTCTTCATCCTCGGGCTCACCATCTTGACGTTTCTTCCCCTCATATTGTTGTGTGCTCCTCTGGATCTCGATGATCACGTTTCGTTCATCTTCATCTTCTAGATCAGAATCACGACCGTAGTCGATCTCGTCCTCATTGAAAGATGGGGTCTCGACATTGTCACTCTTGAAGTTTTCTGCACCATCAGACGGTTTGGAAGGATCTAGATTGTCCATGTCCTCGTCGTCGTCAGCTGCTTCAGTTTGAGCGATGTCTTCTTCCCAAGCCTTTCTGATCTCGTCCATAGTGGCCTGGTCCAAGATATCTTGATCATCATCTTCAGGCTCCTTCTCTTCCTTCTTTTCCTCTTCATCGTCGCTCACAAGATCAACGGGTGAATCGGAAATGACAGTGTTGCGAATACCACACGAGAGTAGCCTGCCTTGACAAGATAGACACACGGACAAAGATGAAGAAGTCAAATGCATACATGATGGACACAAAATATTGCCATCCACGTTGCGATACCCTTCACATGTTCTGGAGATGATTTCGTCCCAAGTTTCCTCACTGATGGAATCCTCGATCAGCTCTCCATTGTCATCGAATTGTACTTCATCGATAAGGGACACGAGCTTTTGGACGTTGTCATCTGTCGCCGAGGCTGACTTCGTGACTTCGTCGGCTCTCTCGAGGATGGTATGCTTCTGAGCAACCCAAAGTCCATGACGCGCCGCTAGAACAACTTGCTCTCCAGTGCTTCCCAGCAGGAGTCTCCTCCATGCCTGAACGTAGTCGTCCCAATACCAAGCACCTCGTACACATCTCCATGGAACTTCTCTAAAAACAACAGTGTAGGAATTCTCCGAAATTCTTCCCCCAAGCTTCCTCAAAGTCATGATTGGAACATAAAGGCAAACGGGCATTCCCACTCTTGGCCATCTTGATCTCAGAATCTTTGATGATCGATCATCCCACGGCGCAAAGTGGTTGAAGAAAACACTACCTCTATATCCCTCCGTTCCACCAGGGACAATTCCTAGTTTCATGATTGACTCAATATTGGAAAGCGATGTCATGTGAAAGCTTCCTCCAAGCTGCATTGCCACATTCTCTGGAATGAGATGTGAAGTCCACACAGGATATATTGACACATCCTCTTCAAGAACAGTCTCTCTTCCAGAATTGTGAGAGGCAACAGCTCGAATTGCACAAGGAACGATCCAACGTTCATGCTTCAGAAATGACGGTGCATCTGTGCTGTAATACATGAGGTTTGCCCAGTATTGCCTTTCCTCTTCGAGTGAGACATCCTCCCTTGAGATACGAATGGCGGCAATCTGATAGCGTACTCTGTTCTGCAACTTCTTTGCATGCCACATCGCCTTGCGTAAATACTGGTATCGCTCTGTCTTGACATCTTGCTCACGTTGATCATCTGAGATAGTACTGATATCGACACCATCGTTGAAGACATGGTCATATTCCAGGATCTCATCGATGTTCACCCATCCACCCTCATTGCACTTCGGGGACACATGAGGTTTTCGACCGCGGTGCGATTGAATCCCATTATGCTTTCCCACTCCATGCCTGAGTAGTCTATTGAGTCTATGGCTAACCTCGTTGACCCGCTGACTCTCCTCGCTGAACTTGTCGATGCGAGTTGCTGGGTTCATCTTTGGTGGATCCGTGAAAGTTGCATCTCTCTTCGGTCCATTCCAGTACTCCACATAAAATGTAACTCCATACTGTGGAATTATCTCGATGCTTCCTCTATCGCAAGTCACCTCAATCTGCCGATATCCAACCTTTTGAACTTGTTGTGGGTCAGGAGCAAGGTCCTTCACTTTGGGCATCTTTATTCCGAGTGCTGCAGCCTCCTGAATAAGTGCATCAAGTTCCCACTTTCCATTAGGACCTGATCTATCAACCCTGTGATTTGCGACCCTGTACTCTCCTCCTTCTTTGTCATCGGCAATGTCAAAGAGGTCGACGGGCTCTTTGAATCTGGTGACGAAACTGGCGTTCCCAAAGGCCTTCTTGGTTGCCTCGACCGCTTTCGCGTATTCCTCTTTTGCAGAGTCTGACGAGTGTGGTCTACCTTTGGCTCTCGGAGAGTGAGGTGGTACCTTACCTCCTAGTTCCGGTTCTTCTTCGGGAAGTTCAATATCTTCATCATCCACATCCATGTAGTCCTCGTCTTCGACGTCTTTGGATGACTTTGCTTTCCTCTTTCGGCTTTCAACATCACGTCGGATGATTGCCTTGTCGTCCTCGGTGAAGCACTTGCGCATAGTGTCCTCCATGTGAGAGAATGAGTTCATCAACTCGTCCTTCTTCTCAGTGTTGGGACAAATAGCC